ACAATGCACAATCACGAGCTGGCGCAACGTGAACAACTCGTTGCACCGATACAGGTATGTATTTGGTTTTGTTGGTTTTATTTGCGTTTTTGTGATATCTTCTTCAAGGAGACACACAAATGTGTCTAGCAATGAGACGTTGTTTTGTTGAACAAAAAAGTTTTTGAGTGGTATTTTGGTTCAGTGGTATTTTTTGGTGTGCTGAGTTGCTTTACTGAAATGTTGAAACTTTATGCGTGAGTATGGAAAATTCTGTTCGAGGAGAAAGTTGTTTTGTTAAGTTGACCGCAAGCAGAATTTTCTCTCATATTCCATATTCCAGACGGAACCACCGAAGAAAGTTCTGAGCAAAAAGGGAACGTCAGCAGCGACGGCAAAATTGACTAACAAAATGAGCCAAAAAAAGAAGGCGAATGCGAAGAAAATTGGAATGTCGTTCGCAAAAATGTTGCATAAGAAAGCGTTGCGACGTGCACAAAAAGCGAAAGGAATGCACAAAACGGATGGCAGAGGTCGGCCACGAACTGTTGGTGTTAAACGAAGAGGAGCAGGCACGTCGAACGCAGTGGGACGTCCAAGGAATACCCCAGCCATAAGCGCCGGAACCGGTGTTGCTGATACATCGGTAACATCAGATTCTCAAACAAAACTGGAAATGGATAAATTTGAGCAGAATGAGAAGAATGTTGAGCAGTCGAAGCCAGTAGTGGAGTTGACAGCATCAACATCAGCATCAGTGGTGGCTGGTGGTGCTGCGAGTAATACAGATGAGGAGAGTGGGCCAGCGACACGAAGGAGTATCACGTCGAGGACAACACCAACAGGAGTTGAAAAGTAGGCTGGAATGTTGTATTGATTTTGTTTTGTTTTGTTTTTTGCCTTGAAAAAGTTGTGATTATTCAATATTTCGTTTCGGACTATGGTGTGTGTGTGTGTGTTTGTGTATTCGAACAAAGGGTTGATTGCACTGAATGATCACTGATGAGTGTTGAAAGTAGTTCAGCGAGTATTCTCAAGTGATTTATCTTTGATGAATATTAGTGAAATTGATCGTTGATTATGCGATATCGAACGAAGTAACTGTTTCTGAGTTAAATGGAGGAGGATTTTATTGAGGCGCAAGGAAGTTGGACTGAGATTGTTTTGAATTCAGAAAATCAACAGCGGCCAAATCGAATCATTCATCAGTGACGAAGAAGACGTCAAGTCAAAAACGTAAAGCCACAATAAAATTGAAGCGAAGGACCACAAAAAGCACATCGGCACTGAGAATAGTCGGTACTGAGTCGGGCAGTACCAGTGCAATAAACGATGAACGAGCAGTTGGTGATCGTAGCGGAGATGTCGTCGTCACGTCAGACGGGTAAAACTTTCTTTCTAGTAAATATGTAACTGTAACATTGTAACTGTAACTGTAAAACTTTCTGTAATATGTATAATGTAACTGTAACATTCGTATTGATCCCCTCTCAAAAAGATTTTCTTAGGTGTTTGTCAATTTTTGAGTTCATTTCCACTTGAATTTGCATGATCAGTTTTGTTGGTAGAAAATGAAAACTGAACAATGTTAGCAGTGTAAATTTGGTCTCATTTGAAGGCAATTATTTTGAATTTGGTATTTCAGTTGGATTTGGTACATATGTTTGCTTGCGGTTAATTGTTGTCCGGTTTGTATTTTTAGTGAACCGAATGAGGAGATGGTGCTTTCTGATTCGGAATCATCACGACGCAAGTCCACTCGTTCATCGACTCTCGCAACTTCCAGTCCAGCTGGCTCACAACTGAACGCGTCTATTAAAGTGAGTGGGAATCGCTTTTTTGTTAAGACTGAATTTTCACAACGAAACGTTTCGATGTTTTGTTTTTATTGTTTCAATTGAATTATGTGGAACGAGTTAGATTTTGACGATATCGAATTGTAAGTTCGATGGTGATATCAAATGAAATCACGTGATTGCTTGATTTTATAGGATGAAGAAGATGAGTCTGCAAACCTCGCAACACCAACGAGTAAAATTGCTGATTCTGCTGAAACGGTGCAAGAAGTGAAAATTGAGGGTGATAATAGTAAGGAAGAGGAGAAAGCATCGAGTAATGAAGAACGACGCATGACACGTGGTAGATTACAGAAAGAGTTGGAAGGCAAGGAACAAAATGAGAGGCGGGAATTGAGCGTTGATCCGAAACAAATTGTTGAGATAAAGGCCGAGCCGAAAGATGCATCGAAGGAGTTGCCGTCTGAACAAAATCCTCAAAAAGAGACCGTGGCTGATCGAAATGTGGCCGATGTCAAGACTGAGCCAGCGGACCAAGTTGAAACAACGAAGAAAGTCGGTGGTCGCGGCAAACGAAAGAGTGTAATCGTCAAGAGTGACGGAGGCAATAACGACGAGGAGGAGAGCAAGAAGAAACGTGAAAGCGCGAAGTTGCACGCTCGAAGAGCATCATCATCGCAGCAGTCGATGGCTGCAGCCGCACACGAAATGAATTATATGCTTCCGGAAGATCGAAACAAAGCCGTGGTGAGTGTTGTTTTTTAATTTTTTTGTCGTGTCGTCCTATCGTGATATTCGTAAATGTTCATGAGAGTGGGGGGATTGAATAAATATGTGAGCACTTGGTTGATTTATGGAACTTAGAGAGGAGTTCGGTTTGTGTAGCTCATTAGCGAGTAGCCATGCGCATAAATGAACATTTGCCTTCACTTAAACAATGGNGTTTATGTTTATTGTTATCGGTTTGATTTTTTTGTCAGTAGTTTTGTTAATATCATTGTTGCGATTTTTGTTGCAAACAACTGTATCGAGATTGTTGCAACAACAACATTTTAAGTTTATTGCCTTTTTAAACGATAAACTGTTTGCTTGATGAAGTTTTCTCATCTTAAGCCGATGATTCAGAGTCGAGAGGAACGTAAACTGCAACAGCAAATCGCATTAATGGAACGTTTGCAAGCACAAGCAAAACGAAAAGAGAATAAGAAACATCACGCAAACGAACAGTCATCACATCATCACCACCAGCACCAAGATAATATCAGCACAACGAACGTCACTGATGGTGGAGCGTCGACAGTGGAAATACAAGACGACGAAACAAAATCGTATGTTTACTTTGTTTATTTCTTCATTTGATTTTATCCAAGATGTTCCTGATAAGAGTAATGATAATTATCATTATTGATATTGCGTATTCTAACTGTTTAAAGTAAATTTTTATTCAAGTAATACGAGCGGCGGCAATAAGAGAGCATCACGAGCGAGTGTTCGTCGCAGTAGTATGAATGCTACAGCAGCAGCTGAGAGTAAGAAAGCACGAGTCTCAGGAGGAGCATCGTCAAACAACAAACGCTCGAGTCTATCGAGGGAAAGTGATGATGCGCGACTGCAGGAAAGCGGTTAGAATATCCGTATTTTAAATTTTATGATGCATATTTTTGGAGTCTGAAATGCACATGCCTGGCATGAAATTTAGCCGTTTTTATATTCATTTTTATTTTACATTATTCATTTATATTCATTCATTTGTATATTCAATATTGAGGTGAATATTAAATGCTTTTTATATTCATTTGTAGTTGCGATCCATACACACATAAATGTATCAGTGTCATTCTTATTGTTAGGAATGGGAGATGTGAAAAAAGAAGCGAAAGAGGAGCCAATGGAATCTGAATGCAATGCTGCTGCTGCAGTACCAACAACAGCAGCAAAAACGACGACTGTCTCATCGGCTGTGCCAACCTCAACTGTACATACGCCAATATCGCCTCCACCTCGCAAACGATGGGCATCAGCCTTGGCCAAGAACGAGACGCAGTCGTCACACATTGACAGTTTGTTTTTATTGTGGTTGTTAAAAACTCGTGTGAAACAATTTCAGTGGAGTTTTACGCGAATTTTTTTTAGTCACAATCAGAAATGGAATGATATTCATTATGGAATATTGAAGGTGTTCTTGTTGCAGTTAATTCAAAGTTTTGCGTTTTTTCAACAGTGAATGAGCTGTTGGTGAATGGGATGGAAAGGCATAATTGTCACATAAAGGAGCGAGTTTATGTCAGCAGCAATAAGAGCATTTGTTTAGATGCAACACCGAAAAGTGGATCGAACGTAGTCCAGCAGCAACCGTCAACCACAAGCACTCAAGCGAAGAATGCCTCGACTCCATCTCCAGTATCCGGTAAGAAGGCATGGCTACTGCAACGAGCAAAACAAACGCATGAAGAGAGCACAAAAATGGAGTCTGAAACGCCGTCGATATCACGAACAGCAGGAGTGTCTGCAAAAACGGTTAGTCTTTGTTAGGTTTCTTTTATTTAATTTTTT